CACCATTTACTACACGGGAGTCTTTGGCCAGAGCGGATCGAACCCACAAACTCTTGGGCATGGGCCCTGTGCCATACCAACCAGGCTATCTCGGCCCTAAGTCATACACATTATAAGGTAAGAAGTGAGACTAAGTGTGGCTTTTTCCATGTTTTGGGGCAAAAAAAAGAAGAAAAAAAAAGGAAAAAAAAAAAAAGGAAGTTATTAGATTTACATTAACGTATACCCCTTTTCGTACATGTAGAAGTTCAATTTTTTGATACAACTTCTGATTTAAATTTTGAAGGTGATCATCTCCATAACTATCTCATCAGAACTTTATAGTTTATCTAATTTAAAGAGAAATGTGCTTACTCGCAAAGTGAGACTTTCCGATTCTTGTACGATGACCATATCTGTGAACAAATTTTACAATTTAAATAAACATGGCTCCCCCCCTTTTTTTTTCAAAGTAATATTTAATTTACTTTACCATACTTTTGAGCTTTATATTGAATGCACTTTTAGAAAATCTAAAAATTTTTTGCTTTCTAGAATTTCAAAATCTATTTTTCTATCTTCTTTTTGTGCCATTAAAAATTATTTTTGCTTCAATAATGTATTTGCTATTGAAATTCATTCTATAATAATTTTAAGCAATTTAGACTACACAATTTTGAACTCTGCAAATGTTAGAACTTGATTCAGTTAAGAAATTGTGGCTATTTTGTGAGGAAGGAAAAATAGCAGCAAACATTGACTGCCATGCTATGCTATGATCCTGCCCTATTGCTGTTCAGCAGTTTGAATGCTTTTCAGCCAATTACAATTTTAGAGATTTGTTTCCTTTTTCCTTTTTTATTTGATTCATTTAGTGTTTTGCATTTTAATTTCAATAGGGGTGCAGAGAAGTATATTTTTATTACAGCAGAACCCTAACTTTCAGACATTTTCGAGGGATGGATACTTCAAATTTTAAAAACTCTAGTAACGTTTTGCGAACTGAATCATTAGATTCCCTACCAAAGTGGGAACACTCTGTTAATCTTGATGCAGATAACAATTTGCTTCACAAAAAGCTGTTTTAAATCTCTTCAGGACAGTCAGCATCTTTATAAACTATTTTTAGTTAGAACTATTCCACATTAATTAGAGTTAATAACTTGATTCCACATTAGTTAATGACTTGAGTTATTTCAGCTTTTATTTGTAGTTATTATACTCACTATTATGTTTTCATGATTAAAGTTAACTTTTAATATCAAATATATCTAAAATTAAAATGGTTTATATTTAAATTAATAGTACCAAGCAAGTTCATTGGCCAAGCACAACTGAATAATTATATTTTCCTTATTTATTATAACTTAACTAATTTAGTTAGATTTCGCACAGCTGTAAGTGTTTATATATATATATATATATATATATATATATATATAACATTANGTAAAGTAAGACTGATTGTGTTTTTAATATCAGAATTAGTTAGCAAGGTTTTGAGTGACTTTAGCATACCCGTCGGCATTTTCGTTACCCAGAGTACGAGTGACTAAGAATCCAAGATCACAGAACAGTATAACCTATGTACAGAATTTCATACGTATGAATTATATCGCTTATGATAGAATGTGACTTATAATTGATGTTCATTAGGGCTGACATACAGTTTTTAGAGTCTGAATTATCATTATATATATTATTATTATATATATATATTATTACACAAACCTAATCTTGAAACGAAACGCGCATTTGAGGAGTTCAATTCACTTGATTTCTTGATCTTTTCTTTTCGGCAATTATTACCATGGATTTCATGATTTTTTATTGTGATAATTATTTACAAAATGCGAAAATATAAATAATTTGTGTGCCCCCAACAAAATACAAGAATATCGCCCATAATATTAGAAAAAAAATTATAACATTTCCAGTTTAAAAAAATTTTTTTTTATTTTAAACACATTAAGAAAAGAAGTTAAAATCATGACAAATTTGCTCAATGCCGAAATTCATGATTTTCCAGATGCGCAGATATCCTTTATAAAAGTAATTTCAAAACTAAGTTTAATTCAAGTATTTATATTATAAACTGACTCACTAATTTTGAATTTCAATATTTTTATAACAGATTTAAGCACTGAGCGATCATCTTTTAAAAAAATAACTTACTTCTCCAAGCCAGAAGTCAATGTCTTTGACAGCAGCATTGAAAGTTCTCTGCTTGTTTGCCTCTTTTATCTTAATGCTCTTTTCGATTGTCTTCTTAGTGAGGTGCTCCCACTGCTCGGCAAGGCAGCTCAGTCGTGCCTGGACAGCCTCTTCAGATCCAGCACACTGGTGCTGGTCAATAAGGTTCTGACCATTGGCTAGGACAGATTGAATTCTGTCCGCATTGGCAGCCAACTCTGCTTCGAATGCCTGGTGTTTTTGATGTTTGCTCTGTATGTTGGTAGGATCTTTGTAGGACTCATCCATTGCCATTTGAAGCTTCTCTGTTATCCAATTTTCTATCTCATCTGCATCCCTACTGAACTGCTGCAAGGTCATAGATTCTCCAAGTTTTGAACGTTTCTTAATGAGATTGTCCTTCAGGTGATGCCACCTTTCTAAAACTTGATCCTTCTTTTCATTTATTGCATCGGCAGCGTAATGATCGGCTGCCACCAGTTGGTCGGCCAGAGCGGCCAATGCAGCAATTTTTTCTTCCTGCAAAAAAAAAAAGGTTACAATTCACTTTAAAAGTGTTGAAATAGATACATGATGCACGGAAGGAAAAAAAAATTTGATAGTCAAAGCAGCCAACATGGATAGGAAAAAATTCAGTAGATTTCCCAAAATAATATAAATATCATAATATTTGTTGCATAATGTACTCAATATTTTACACATAGGGAATTTTAGGGATAGGGAAATCTTATGTATTATGCTCACTCATAA